ATTTTTCTATGACTTTGAACTATCACTTTTGCTACTCTGGGCATTGTGCTGTGGCCTTGCTTCTACCCTGTAATGCAACTTCCTCCTTTTCCTCATCTTTCCTAGTTAATAGTCCCTCTGCAACAAAATAGCCAAAGTATTTGTGAAATCTATTCAAGAACATTACAAGAATAATCTCTAGTTCAAGGACATTATTTTACTCCATATGCTTTTAACAATAATATCATACTGTCCATCAAATACATCAAATTACATCTATTTATAAATGCTTATACTTTCTGAGGACTTTCCTCACATATTTAGTGCAGGTGTAGTGAAGTACTGTGAGTACCTTTCACCTTTTGGATAAAATATATTTGAAATAAAATGATAGATTTCAGATACAAAATGTAATCTGTTCTTAATCTACATATTCATATACCATATAAAGAAGGTAAAAGCATCACATTATTTAAAGTAATATCATTGGCCAAAAACCATGAGCTACTACGGCCAAAAACCGTAGTTCCTCCTGCTGATCATTGCTAGCTGTCTGCTCAGAATTATCCACATATTTTATGTAAGTGCATATTATTTTTATGTGGTATACATCACACAAGCACGTCAGCAGACTTACGTTCCCTGGGAACATAAGAGACTTTGCTATTGTGGTATTTGAGGAAAGCAGTCAGACGTGAGCAACAGGTTCTCTAAGAACCTTAACGTAAAACCTCAAATAGCTTTACTACAAAGAGATAAGTACAATAAAGTTAGAACAAAATAAAACTTTCAAAGAAACAGGTGGAGACTTTCGTGACAAGGAGTCGAGAAACAAATAATAAAACAAAAATTTCTGAATCAAAGGAGAAAATGTTGCTGCTAACTCCAGGAGTCCTGGATAAAAATGGACCTCTTGGCTCCTACCATTGGTCTCTCAACACAGCATAACATAAACAAACATTCAATCCTGCACTGCCCAGGAGACACAAACGTGTAAAGGCTACCTTGAGCTTTTCTAAAATCAAAACTGATTGACCACCCTCTGATAGACCTACCATTCATACCTGCAAGACCTCCCTCTAGTATCTCACCCAGTTCCTTTTTAATTTCCACCACATTTATCATTCCAGTCATGTTCAACAATGTCTATTCTGAAAAGACCTCCAACTTTATCAAAAGACCAATCATTAATCAAGAAAATATATTTTGATCCTCTGTCTTAGAAAAGCTTCCTTGGGATTATCTATCTTTGAAGGAAACAAGCACAATATAAAACACCAGTAAGCCTCATTTAATTAAAATAAAATGAGTCTTTGAATTATAACTGTGCTACTTTCCTATGCCCTGGCATTAGTGCTGGAATATAAAATTTGTATACCAAGAACCTCCTTATTAATGTTCAGGGATTATTTATTATACACTAAAGTCATGAATATGAAATAGCTCTTGAAATTTTAAACACACATTTTGTATTGTACTGGATAAAAACTCAAAAGAAAAGTAACCTCAAAGTAGCAAACTTTCACTCCTTTTCATCTTTTGCACAAAACATTTCTTTTGGAAATAAACTGACATTAAGAACAAATACTCCAATAGATACCACCACTTCCATGAGATCTGAAAATTGGTCTCTTCTCAAATGGAAGAAATTCATCCATAAAACCTGTGTCCAGCGGGTAGGAAGGCTGGAGGCATGGATATTGGTGAGTAGAGACTGCATAGCACTTACACGCCGTACAACTCTAATCTAAGGTACCTGGGCAGGTTTGGAATCTATTCTTTAAGCCCACAATGCTCTGTAGTTGAAAAGATACTGATCTCAGAAATGTTTAACAAGCAAACCTTTTCCGGAACTACTGGGTAACAAAAGGAATTGCCAGGGAAACGCAGGCTCTCTAGCTAGCTCTTGGACAAGCATCTGATTCCATCCACCTGCCACAAATAATCCTCAAGATAAGCGCTTCAGAAAGAAACAAGGGGCGGGAGGTGCGGGAGCGTGAGTGAATCTTCCTAAGTTTCCAGTTTCCCTGACACCACTTGGGGGTAGAACTTGGGTGTCTCTCTGCCTCGACTGGCCACTTCACTTCTTGAGGATCCAGAAGCTCCGAGCTCCAGATAACTGCGACACTCACCCGTGAGCGCAGGACCCTTCCGCCGTCTTAAGTCCCAGCTCTCAGTCCTGCCTGCTGCAGGAACACAATGACATATTTCACCCAGGCGGGCAGTTTCAGGGAACCGGAATTGGCCCCAACAGTTGCGGTGAGCCTGACTTAGGTTTGAGCGCACGAGCGCTAAACCCCAGACAAAGGCTGCCCTCGGTCTTCCCTGGTGCGCGCACTCCCTTGGTTATCGGTGACTGTCCCCCTCAAGCCCACGCAAGGAGCACACGAGCCTGTGAAGTGGCTGTCATCGATTCCTCACTTTCCGAGGGGTGCGGCTGGCTGACTAGTAACACGCTGGTGCAAACAGCGCGCGGCGCACTGGGGGCCGGGCAGAAACGACGTGCGCGCAGAGCGGGAGCGTGGGGCCAAGAGGTAACCACCCCAGACAGCGGCCCGAGCAGCCTCCGCTCACCAGAGCGGCGCCTGCAGGGTGAGCCCGCCGCCTATGGGTTGGGTCGCGACACCCTCCAGGAGCCCCCAGCCAGGAGTACTGGCTCTCCAGCCTACTCGCTGGGCAGAGGCACCTGCTACCTCCGCTCCAGGACTGGTTCTGTGCCAAGTCCCTTTCGGAGCCAGTACAACCGCCCAGGGCGAAGAGCCGAGGAGCGTGCGGATCCTCAGTGAGGCTGACCGAATGATCTCTGCAATCACTTACCCGTGGAGGGTGAAGTCGCCCAGGCGGCCGCCAGGCTGCGCGCGGCTGGCACCCCGGCGCGCGGGCATTCTCCCTTCCTTTGTCAGCGGCGGCTGGAGCGCTCCTCTCCAGCTGGCGGGTGAGCTGCCGGGTGGCAGGCAGCCCGGCTCTGGCTCCGCTTGCCAGCCCTCTCCCTTTCTCTGCTCCCCTCCCCTTCTCCGTCCCCCTCTCCGAGCCGGCATTCATTCGGCTCCCATGATGTCATCCGGTGGAAATCTGCCATGCTCAAAGCCTGGAATAATCCAGCGCTCACGCGGGGAACGTAAAGCGGGCGGAGGCGGCAGTAGAGCCTCTAGGAGTTCCCAGAACCTGGCAGAGACAGATTAACTGGAGTCAAGGACAGGACAGAGGAGGGGTCTGCAGAAAGGTGGCCCCGAGGGTGTGTGTGGGCTGGATGGGTGCGGCGGGGAATGAGTCCGAAATGTTCGCTGCTCTACAGATTCCTAAATCAGTATTTAGCCTGACGGCAGATGCCAGCAGAAAGTAGAAAGTTTTTTCTGGCTTCTCAGCAGCTTAAGCGCCCCACCGATGTGATGGACACCTGTGCTGCGGCCAGGAGAATGACTAGGGCCAGGAGAATGACTAGAACCCTTGTATCCTCCGGGCCCCAATCTCAATGAGAAAGTTTAGGGTGTCTGGCCAGTGACAGCCTCAGTGATGAGCCGTTAAGTGACACAGAAATTCGTGTATTGTTCCTAGGTGATGAAAGAGTTTGAGGCAAAACATTAGGAACATGGGTGCGCCACAATCTGCGATATACAAACCACGAAGACTTCTGCTTCCAGGTGAGACAGCACCAGCAGAAACGTGCCCCTCGCCTTAGCATTGCTTTCTGGTCCTTCCACCAAATACTACTGCACACTCCAGAAGGGACTCCCTCATGGCTTAGCCAAGGACTGCCATGGCTCATGAAACTATTTAAATCACAGGAGGTTTATTGAAAGTCAGAAAATGTGTGATGACTTTTGCTCAAGATTCCTTATAAGGTCAATAGACGTTGCATTAGA